TTATTATGCCTGCCTATTAATAGCGATCGGAAAATAGGAAGAACAGCCGTGACTTTATAGTTTCTGATGTTGGTCCACTGACAGCGCTTTATCTGAGCCACATAAATGCCCTAATAATACCTAATTTTTAGCGATATTTAAAGTTATTGGCTAGCCGTACTAGTTGTAAGTGTAAGTCTTTGCGATGTGTGTGCTAAGTGGACAAACATCTGGCACTCCTTTTCAAAATTTTTGCCGTAAGCGTTCATCAAAGTTGAAAGCTGTTTTGGAAAACGGAATAGGAAATACTTTAGCGAAGATACTTGAATCTGGGAAATTTTCATGTGCTTTCGAATAAACTAGACTCCAGCAGACTTTTTTGCTCGAAAAATGATTGTTTTTGAATATTTTTATAGATATAGATATGGAATTAATTTTACATACGAGAAATAACAAAGTCACATTCATGTTGCGATTCGCAGACCTGTACGCGACGAGACCCACATGGCGCGAATTCAAACGCTGAATCATGAGATTAATGCGAGGAAATTCACCCGTCTAAAGGCTCACCAGATTTATTCAAACTATGCACTTACGATGGAATAAATAAGTTTTCATTAACTTAACCCGCTGAGTCAAGATTTTGGAACATTTTTTTGGAATCAGAAACGCGTTTATTTTTGAGCTAACAAATTTTTATATTGTTCTAAAATGTCTCCGAAACAGTTCCCCATCCAGTTTACACGTCTCTAAATCGCTCGAATTCCATTGTAATCCAATGGTAATCGGCTGCAAAACGGCTTCTTAGCCAAGTCGAAACACTCTTGCACTTTCACCTACTGCTACTGCTGGCAAAGTTTACATTCTCGATGCGCTCGTCGATATGAGCGCTCATCGGGAATCGCCGAACACTCGGCTACTGTTTTGTTTTTCTATGGAAGAATCAATAATAGTCAAAAGCTAGAGTAAACACTACTGAGATTCCACGATAAACTTTTCGTTTACAACCACTTTTCGTTGGCATTTCATTGCTACGTACGCAAGATGTAGTCTTACGGCGTATCCTCATTTTATGTGGTGTCACGGGACGGGATACCCTATGCTTTCCCACAATTTACGAGCAATTCTCCTAAAAATTTTGATTTTTCTCAAGTTTACAAGCGATTCTTGCACCCCATTGCAACATCTCTAGGTCGATAATCGTTCCCTTTCGTCGATGGAGAACGATTCTGGAAAAGCCGATGAGGAGCTTCTTGAGATCGAAGTCTTTCCCGGATATTTCCACATTAAAGGAAGCTACTCTCTTGTAATCCATAGGGTAAGTGTAATGGTTGCTGTAAGCTCTTTTGAAAGCTGTAGCGTTCCTCACTTCCTTTTTATTTAGGGTGACCCCTTAGGAGAGCTGCTATCCGAGGTTCATGCGAAAGGATCGGCTTCATCGATGGATTTTTCAATTACATCAAAATTACGCAGGCTACTAGTACAATGTTTCAAGCAGAAAAATAGGCCAGCTATAGAAGGAGGTGGGTTCTTTATGAGTTGAAGTCTTTTTACCATTCTACATACCAAATGCACCGCAACTCATGCATAGAACGAATTTACCGAACATCCAAATCCTTTAAGGGAAAAATTAAACTTTGTAATCAATAAAATCAAATTGGTTGCACAACAAGCACCTTAATTACATGAGGGTTGTACTATAGGATAGTTAATCCGTGTCTCTTAGTTAAACCATGGTAATTATCCACGTTCTGCAAAACTTATGTGTCCTATTCTATTGATTCGTTTTATTAAAAAAATAGAGTGAATTTTACTCTATGCTATAATCTTTTGAATATTCTTAATCCATGAATAGTAACCAGCCAAAGAGACATTCTTTTTAACATACTTTTTTTACGCTTTATCTTG